GATCGGTTGTGGTCGGTGTTTTCGAATTTGGTCGGAGTTTGCCCATCCCTAGGTGCGACCAGTGTTTTAAAACGCGTATAGCGTAATGCGTTGTGTTTAGCGTTGCGTGTTGCGTAAACTATTTGAGTATAATTTTCTTTTATAGAAATATTACAAATATTTTTGCATATAATAAAACTGGATGATTGATTACAAAAATTAATCATAGTATTGAATGACTTCAAAAATAACGTCTAAGAATTATTTCTCACAAATATTTAACGTAAATATCATAATATAAATATTTAAATTATAAATCGAATATACTAATTCGATTTGATATGAACTTTTTATTCTTTATTTAAATGTCAAATATCAAACATAAAATGATATAACAAAAATGGACCGATAAATATTGCACTATTAAACATAGGACTTTGTATTTTCAAACTTTTAATTTAAAATCATTATCAAATATTTAGTTGTTAGTTGTCATTTGTAAATATGACTCTTATCCCTAAAAAATACGAGTTTTAGAGTATTTTATTATTCAAATGTCGTTGCAGAAATATAGCGCAATGTAGCGCCTAACAGCATAAAATAGCGCAAAAAAGTGTAACAACGCTGCCATTTCAACATTTTGCGTAAACTTTTCTGTAAAAACGCTAAATATATAAGGTTACGTCGCTTTTTTTGAAATCGCGTGCAACAGCGAGCTATTTTAACAATGGGTGCAAGACTGCTGGTTTGAAATCGAGTTATTGAGATAGCCTTAAACCCATCATCCATACCCCGTGTCTACCTGTATTGATAAACCCTAATTCAGATGTGAATTCCAATGGCCACTTCAACTGGCCTCGGGTTCTCGCGTCTTCCCTGTTTACCTCTTCGCTCTCCTCTCCTCCCATGCTTTCTTCAGGTCAGTGTTTTTTCTCTCCTTTTTTACCTCACGCAGAATTGTGCTTGTATTAGTTATCTTACATTTCTTTTTCCCAGGCAAGGCTGGGATGTGCTGCTGCGATCGCAGGGTTGGATGATACTAATAGTGAAAAAGGCAAGTGAAAAAAAAATCACTTGTTAGTTTTCCGGTCTTGTTTTGTTACCATTTTCATATGTTCGGCTTGTGTTTTGGTGTTGTTTTATTTTAATTTTCGAATCATTTTTGGGTTTTATTAATGTTTAGAAGTTGATGGCCTGCGTTATGGTGATGCATATGGAAATGGTTCGGAGTGGAGGAAGATAAAGTCCAAGGACCTTGAAATTAATAATTCCAAAATTTCGAGGCCTACAAGAGTAGTCCTTAACGGTCTTAGACGACGAGGTGTGTATATGTGATCAATATTTTTTTATGTTTGCTTTTTTTCTTTTTCTTTATTGAATGAGTGAAATGATAGTTTTTTATGGATAACTGAAACAGCAGAAGCTGTATATGGATAAGGTGACCAATGGAGTTTCCTTTGTGTAACTGTTGGTTGTTTTTTCCCTATCCTTTTTTTAGTGGTGGTGGAAGGGAAACCAATTGCTATGCCTTTGGGAAATTTATTCCTCTATGACCGAATAGTTATTTGCTTCATATAGCAGAAACCCACTTTCTTGATGTTAGAATATTAGTCCTACTGTATGAATTTTTCACATCAACATGTAGCAGTTTAGCACTTGTATGTTTTTGAATTCTTCTCTTGCTAATTATTACTAATTGTGTCTGAGTTTGAGCCCTTTGTACCATTTCATTTTCAATTGAAGGGAACATGTTCATTACACATCAGTTGCANGTTGAAAACTGCGAGTTAATAATTGTGTTAAAGCTTTTTATGTTTGACAATGAAAGCACCGATTGTCAAGAGTATTTATTGTTTATTGTTAAGGTTTATCCAATACTGCAAGAGCTGCATCTAAGGGAAATTGCACACAGTCCCTGTTACCGTTAACTGAAGGCATTAATTCTCTCGATTTTTCATTTTGTAGGTTTTGAAGTTTATCTTGTAGGGGGATGCGTAAGGGATCTCATATTGAAGCGAATACCTAAAGATTTTGATATAATAACATCAGCCGAACTAAAAGAGGTAAGCTTATCATTTGTGTTGATATGATTTGTTGAAATTTTTATAATTTTTTGAAATGTGTTTTGGCAATGACCATAGAAAGTAAGCGAGCTCGGAAATTTGAATAAAGCATATGTTTAGAACTTAATTCTGAATGCTGTTCAAATATAATTTGCTTCTCTATCACTGTTGTAACTGAGTTCCCTGTCAAAGCAAGGAAAACGAAAGTACTTTGAGATTTGAGAACTATATGATAATTGAGATTTTTCCAGCTGCTATGGAGATTTTGACCCTGTCAAAAGGTCATAGCTATGGTAAGTATATTACAGAAGGATTGTATTGTCTTACTTTGCAGGTTATGAGAACATTTTCTCGATGTGTGATGGTTGGCCGACGCTTTCCGATATGTCATGTGCACGTTGGCGACACTATTATAGAGGTTTGTAAACATATCTTATTTAATTTCCCTTAGCTTTCTATTGGCGACACTATTATAGAGGTTTGTAAACATATCTTATTTAATTTCCCTTAGCTTTCTATTGGTGTGTAGACATTCCGATTTTATTGTAAATACTACCTTTGTATTTTCTGTTCTATTTGTCTTTTTCTCTAGTTTAGGAATTTTCAACTCATCTTGGTTTACCATCATGGCCAGAGTAATTTGTTTTTGTTTCCTTCTTTAATTCTCATATAATGTCTCCATTTATACCCTCTGTTATTTTCTCTATCATTTGTCATCATCTAATTGGACTGCTGAAATTACAAACCCATTATAGTTCTCACTAATATTCTATAATATATCAGGTTTCAAGCTTTAGCACTCGTGCATCTAGGTTTGGGAGGGTCATGAGTTTGGATCCTGAGAAGCCAGATGGTTGTGATGAAAAAGACTATATTCGCTGGAAAAATTGCATGCAGCGTGATTTCACAATTAATGGGTTACTAATTTCTCTCTTTTAAACATATATGCATTCGTTTTAAAAGTTATAGGCATCACATTTTCGCTTTTTTTGTTCCTTTTCATATTTATATTTCTTCTTCTTTTTTTTTCTTTATGGTTTCTTTCTTTTGTGCTCAATCTTGTACTAGATCACTGAAGTTCCTTTTTTCTCAAGGGTCATTCTACTAATAATCACTGACGTTCCTTGTTTCTCAAACTCCAGATTGATGTTTGACCCATACGCAAAGTTGGTGTACGACTACACTGATGGAGTTAATGATATTAGGAAAGCTAAAGTGTGCATGTATCTCTAATCTATTGTAATTTTTTTTTTTCCTTCAAGAATTTTCACTTCTTTGGCACTTATTTACGGATTTACATTTTCCACATGAAGGTGCGGACTATTAAACCTGCTAATCTTTCCTTTGCAGAGGATTGTGGTATTTTTCTTTCTTGAAGTAGCACTCTACTTGGAATGAGCTAATTTTCTGGTTATCATTATTTGCATGTTCCATTAGAAATATCAAAACTAAATGTCAAATGCATTTATGTCTTCATTGGTGTTTTATCAAGGTCTCCCTAATGAACTGCGATTAAGTTATTTTCGCTTCATCTTTGCAGCTCGTATTCTCCGTGCGGTTAGAATTGCCGCTCGACTAGATTTTCGGATATCAAAAGACACAGCTCTAGCAGTAAAGAGGTTATCTGCTTCAATTCTACGGCTTGATAGGGTATCCAGCATAACTATGCGCATTTTTCTACAGTTATATACAATGTTGTACTAAAACTTAATTTTTCTTTAATTAATTATGTTTTATAGGGCAGACTTCTCATGGAAGTCAATTACATGATGGCCTATGGTTCTGCCGAGGCTTCACTTAGATTATTATGGAAGCTAGGTCTTCTTGATATACTTCTGCCAGTTCAGGTAAATAGCAATTATATTTATGCCTCATGATTTATTGTGATAATCTTGTTTATTCGTAATTTAGTGTCATTCATGTTTCTAGTTTATTTGTCACCTAATTATGGAAATAAGAGGTGTGCTTTTGCTTTGCAGGCAGCGTATTTGGTCCGAATTGGTTTTCGTAGACGTGACAAGAAGGGTAACATGCTTTTGGTAATTGTTTTGTCTTCTAGAATGATGAACTGTTTTGATTACCTTATCTTGGCCTGTGCTTTTTATGAAGTGTATAGTGTTCTTTCTGTGATGAGGTCAGAATTTCCAAGAGAGAAAACATGTGTTGCTTTCATTTTGCAGTCTTTATTCTCCAACCTCGATAAACATCTGGCGCCTGACAGGCCATGCCACGATAGCTTATGGTTAGATTTAAATTCATCTGGAAATTCTAAGTTGCCATTTCGTTTATTGAATCTTTATGCTG